CCCTTTCCTATTCTTCCCATTATATCACTACATGTATTACAGAATACAGTTGTGCTGATGCTTGCTAAGTCAACCAAGAGATCTCTCTGAAGTAAGCATTACAAATTCTCTGGTTGGCAGAATTATATCTGTAGTTTAAAAGGCATAAGGACATTTTGTGAGGTATCAAGCACAACTATAATAATTGACCTGTGAACTAAATCATTTGCAGATAAAAACATTTGAAGTCTTTATTTACATTGCAAAGTCTAACTCTGTGCTATTAGGAAATGGAAAGGAATGGATCACAGTTTAATACACAACTGATTAACTGAAAAACACATTTTCCATAACCCAAATCAGGCACTTCCAAAAGTTATGTCTGGATATGTATTTTGATTAGACACTGGTACTATGTACTGCTTACACAGTCAATATTCAAAATTTATTTACTTCTTGCGTTCTTTGAAATTCTTTTTAACCATGTGCATTTTGTTTATTTTCTGCCTGACAAGCCTTGTATCTAAAGCATATGCCTCTTTAAATTTTGGCAATATTGAGTCATGTTTTTTTTTGTTTTGTTGTTTTTTGTTTGTTTGTTTTTGTTTTTGTTTTTGTTTTTGTTTGATTGTCAAATATGCCTAGAAATTATGAAATACTTACGGGCTTCACCTTTGGATTCATTATTATTCTTTTGTAAACTTACTATAGTAATAACTAAGTATGACAATTATTTAACAATAATTAATATAACTCTCTTCAATAGCAAACACATTGTCATCCAACTCCTGCCAACACAGACAGTATACATTCGTTATACCTGGATGAATACATTTAGTTTTTTTAAAAAAAGATACATAATTACACTTTTAAAAGTATCCTAAATGCATGATTTCAGTCTTCTTTTGGATTCAATACAATTTTCTTTATATATACTATAGTTAATCTTTAAAATACATACTTTGCAACTAAAATTTTGAGAAGTGATAAAAAGCAGTCACAAGCCCCTACAAAGAAAGAAGAGAGAGCATTCCTCTAGCATTCCTCTCAGTTAAGATCCCCACACTTGATCAAGACAACTGCCTGTATGTGATAAGTCTTCCCTTCTCTTTGGAAAGAAAGAGGATTGCTTTTTGATTTGCCATTCACAATGCTGCTATTGCAGACTCAGCAATCTTAGTTAAATTAATATATTTAATATATTCTTATAAAGTAAATTAGAATTCTAAAGAGCAGCATGTGTGTTTTTTACTCCCTTCTCACATTCTGGGACTACTGGTATTGAAGAATCAAGTCAGAGTAAACTTGAGTGCAGAAATCCAGAAAATTTCAACGTAATACAAAATAAGAGCTTTTGAGCATTCTTTGTTGTGCAATAACCCTGGATCTATTAGGATCTTATGTTTCTCTGTGTCTTACAAAAAAGATGTTCTTGGGCAAAAAGTAATTCAAACTATATCCATGCATGCCTGGACAGTTTTACAAAAATCATGAACTGAACTGATCAAATGTTGTCTACATTGTTCTCTACAATTCTGTGAGAAGCCTGCTTAAAAATGATTTGGCTTGCATAAATCAATGAGGATAGTTATTTTAACAGAGTCATAGCAATTAACATGAATGGGCTTCCACTCATTTTGTAACAGAACAGAAATATTCTTTACTTTTGTGACCCATGAGTATTTAACAACATCACAAACACAAGTGATGTACTAAAGTACTAAAATGAAGCCATATACTTTGGATGTTCACAGTTCTGCAACTTTTTTTTGAATGTATGTGTGTGTGTCAAATTGATGTGCTGGCATAATACAACTCTGCATACTAAAATGGCTGAACTTCACAGAACAATAAATAAATACACTATTTGAAAATAGCATGCTGAATGAAAGGGGTATAAACAGAGAATTCTAAGACAAATTCTGAAGATCTCATACAAAAATTCTACTACCTAGAGACTGTGAGCTATTGTCTTTGAGAAAGTACAGTTTAGTCAAAGATAGCAGGTGTCAGGTGCCACCTGCCTTTCTCTTCAAGAAAAAAAAAAAAACTCAAGCTGCCACAGATTTAGTATGCATCAAAAAAGATCCACTTTGTTCAGGTAATTCCTGTAAATTATTTATCATCCTCAGGCCCAAATCTGCTAAAATCAGATCTTTCTGGCCTGTCCTCACACTATTCTAACTTTTTTTACTGGTCTGCCAATCTTACACATCTTTTGGACATTCATTAATTGAAATGCAACATAGTCAAAACCAAGCTCCTATTTTTTCCCCTCCCAAGTCCTCCCAAGTCCTTTTTTCTATACAGACACTCTGCCATGTGTCTGTATAGATGTACTCAAATCTTTCTGAGCCACAGCCTGAGCTTCATCTTTGACCTAGCACTCTGTTTTCATCCAAACAGCTTACCCATCAATAACTTAGTGCTTCTCTCTAACATGCAATCTTCTCCAAGCCAACATTTCACTTTGTACAAATACAATCCTTACTTCTGCTACTGGGGTCTTTCCAAATCCCTTTAAATTATTCTATTTAGATAATTTTATGAGTCATTGTTTTTTGAAGGGATTTTCTTTCTGTCACCAAAGCGATGCCTGCTTTGTCTTGTTACATCCAATATTTTTCACATTCTTCAACTATCATATAAATTAAATTGCTAATTTTCTTTTTATTTTTCAACATTCACTGTATATCTTAACAGCCTCAGAAAGACTTTTCTTATTAGCACCCACATGTTTTCTCCTAGTCTATTCCTCCTATATGGGAGAACCTTTATTAAAGTCCTCGGAACTACCTCTTTATGACCCTCCTACTTGGAATTCTTTGTCTGCTACAATACCTTTACAATTTTTCGAGCTGAAAAGAAATATGATTCATCTAGTAAATTTAACTTACCAGAATTAAACCACTCTGCTATTACTGATAACTTTATCGTCTGTCTCCTCAGTCACTCTGTCTCAACATTTTGTTTATAAACTCAGTGGAGTGGAAACTATGCTATACTTGTGTAGCATATCCTCAATTAGCTTGAAAGTCTCCAGGTAACTAATATAACCAATAAATATTGTAGCAGAAATAAGACCTACCTGGGAGCACAGTAACAAGCCACGTAGAAACTTCCGTACTGATGTCAGTCATTGGCATATGGTCCCTCCAATATATACCTCTGAAATGTAATAATTTGGAGTGAAATTATGGCTCCACTGAAGTCCATGTTTTTTATGACTACTATTACAGTAATACAGTAATGTAAAGAATATCCAAATATTAAATTAACTTATGAAAATGGCATATATTTTATTTTCCTCTGTTCTGCAGCAGGTCTATTATTGTACTTAAAATAAACTCACTATGTCAGACTGTTCTAGTTTTCATCCTCGGTTTCATAAAAGAGCTATTTCTTTTTCTTTCAGGCTTATGAATCTGATAGCTGTGTGTCAATTTTGCAAACTTGGTAGATGCCTTCAGTTAGAGGAAGCAATCAAAGGGAAAGCTGGTGGGCCTGCAACGGGGTGAGCTCATCATGGAAGATGGTGCTGAAAACCATTGCAGCCAGAGTGCATCAAGGGCTGGCTGCTCCCCCAGGGATGGGGAGCCAGGACCAAGGGGGACCCTTGAACAGGGCCCAGCCTCAGACACAGCCATGAAATAAGTCCAGGCTCTAGATGGAGAATCATGTCAGGAGCAGCAGGCAATTGGGCCAGAGACAAGGCTGGAGACACGGCTACCACCTGGTCCAAAGTCCATGCAGGAGACAGGACCGGAGATGAGCTGCAGTGTATGTGCTAAGGGACTGTCCAGGAGGCAGTCATTCATAGTGTAGGTCAAAGGTCCACTCCGTAGAGAGGGGCCAGCACAGCTACAACTTGTCTCAGGCAAGGACTGAGCTGAGCTTGTTGAGGGGGAAGCCAGGTGAGGCTGATATTTAGTGGTCATTGGTGAAGTCAGGCACCCAGAGTTGCTTTCTGTGTCTTCTTTTCTTTATTGCCTTTTCTTTCCTTTTTCTACCAATTGCAGACCTAACAAGCTGAATATATGTTGCCTTCATTTCTCCTGTGAATGACATCACGTGAATGACATCACGTGTACACATGCATAAATAAAACTTAAAAGGATAAAATACTGGAAGTATTTCCAATAAGTTCAAAGAACACAATTTAATACTGTATTGGATATGACGAGTTGTCACGTGGCCTTTTAAAAATCTTTTTCTTAAATAGATCACCATCTGCCTGAATCTACAAATGAGTACATACAAGATCCTTCTTGCATTCATAACTTTGGCCATTTACACTTACAATTCTGAAATCAAAATGCTAATTTGCTTGCACAGCTGCCCATCACAAGGAGAAATTCTGGGTACTACTGAAATTAGAGGGATCATTCAGTGGAGCTGGGATTTCAGCCTTGCTTCTTCTCTGTTCTAACAGGTTTATCCATGAATATCAAGGATGCATTCAGAAAGCCTGATCAACACCTCATTTGGAAGCTGAATTGAAAATAGAACAGTAACAGAAACTTCTGTATTTCAAAGGAGTTTTCTGATGTCAGGTAGGTTGCAGAGAAGTCTAACAGTGAAAAAGTCACTGTCCTTGTTCTTTTACCTAGCTTAATGCAATGGTTTGGAGATTTATTTCTCTCTTATTCATGCTCTATGTGTTTGTCAGTCACATTTTCTTAGTCATTAACCATTCATTCGCTATGCTGTAATTTATTATGTTATTCATTTTACAAGACAGCATGCAAGGTTTCTTGCTTGTCTGTTCAAGTCAGGCATAATGCTTTATGTTAACCTTCAGAAGTCATACTGAACTTGTCAGGAATATTTATCATCTGAGTTTAAGAGGTTATCTACACATTTTTCAGTTTTTGATATTGTTCATTAGTTTTCATTTTCTTTCTTTTTTTTTTTTTTTTTTTTACTGATCTTTCACCATCTAGCAAGTATGGGATTTCTGATCCATATGACTTACATTTCAGACTTGAACAGATCAAAATAAGATCAGTAGAAGCTGTTTATTCATTTTTATTGATTTATCGGTTCTAACAAAATCACACTGAGTGAAAAGTTTCCAAGAATTTCATGTAATTGTAATGAAACAGTGTTGCATCAACAATTTACAGTTTCATTAAATTATAGATTGACACATAGTAAATGAGTGGCACCATTTAATTTTAACATCATGTTATTAAAAACTTTTTTTTAAGTATGTACATACTCAGTTTATAGTTCAGCAAGTAGAAATAAATACAATACTCTTTAGCCTGTGAATTTGAAAAAAAAAAAAAAAAGACATATACATTTTGATTTTGTGTTAATGAAACCAACATATACCACTGAAGTTGGATTAAACCCAAAATGTGACATACTATTTTCCAGAGAAATTAGGAACTTCTTAACTAAAAGAAAGTTTATTCTAAAAGAAAACTGGGTACTTCGGTGCATATATTTCTTTAACTTCCAATGGGCTTTTTGGAAAATTAGGTCACTAAGTTATCACTTTTATAAGCAGTTTTAATGCAACACTTTCCAGCATTTCCACATATCTCATGCCCAACACTTGAATGCCTAAATGCATGTTTATAAATTTTCACTATCTACGTTGATTTTTCACTCTGCTGTTTAATTGCATCTCAGATTGACCTCACACTTGAAATTCAGTGTATTTTTATTTAAAAGTATCTCAAAAAGAAGCTTAAAAAGAGGTATCCAAGGTAGACAACACTGCTTTCATTTACATAATGTAAAGTTTGTCATTAACAAATATCACAGTTGCTTTCTCTGATTTTGTCCTTGATCAAATAGATAATTGACACTAACTATTGAACAAAGTACTGGGAAGTAGAATATGTCGGCTATACAGGATACAGTAGTACTTTGAATCCAGGTAGATTTTAGGCCAAAGGGAGAATGCAAATATTACTGCAAATAAAATTTGTTCATTTCCTTCCCTTCAGTACGGACTTCTTCACTTGCTTACTCAGGTGAGTCAGTGTTTTTTTGTAAGAAGCTTTCTTATATACAAAATTCTCACAAATGTAAGTGGAAAAGTACTCACTGTGAAAATGTTTTATGGACATTAAAAATAATAAAATAAAAGCCCAACACATCATCATTTAAAGGAGAGAGTCAAACAGTTACAAATACTCATGAATAAAATTAAAATATTATTAATATCCATAGAAAATTCACCTAATACAGGAAAGACTGACAGAAATACTGGACAACCTATGTTCATACAGGCTGTTCTGTGCAGGAAATGGGTTAACAGTTGTTTCCACTAAATATTCAAGCAGTGGGAGATAAAAGGGTTCACTGAAAATCACACCAGAATAATACACCGAATATCCAACTGCAGAGTTAGAAATCACTCATTAAAAAATTTCCAGACCAACCCATGTTTTCACACAACACAAGTATTAATTCATATATGTAAATGCTATGCTTACCAATAAACCAATAAGTAAAAACAAAACAAACAAAATTAATAAATATGAGTATTTTTAATCACAGAATAGTGAAGGTTCCAACCTGGAGGTCAGCTGGTCACCACTCTTCCATGCAGGGATACTTTCATCAGGTTGCCCAGGACAGATTAATAAAGAGGGTAGCTTTTAATAAAGAGGGTAGTTTTAAAAATTATTATTAATATATTAACAGGTGTGACAGAAAATTTATCAGAAGCATTCACACTTACTGGGAGAAGAGATCGAAGATTCTTGTAGGCCACCACTACTAACAAAGGACTCACTCAGACCTAGAAAATTTTGAATGCATCAGATTGCTATACTTAAAATGGTATTTTTCTCCTCTTTAATGTATTTAAAACATTCTTTAGCTAATTTCACTTTTGCTTGCTGGGCAGTTCTTAAATGCTTTGTACTGACTTCCACAGTTCTGAAATCTAAAAGTACTGCCAAAAGAATAACTGATCCCATTCTTCATCTCAATATTTTGTTTTGTTACAGATACTATACAGAGCATCAAAAAGCTCCATTGCAGATATAGGAAAATCTCGGTCTCAGTATGGCATTCTGTCTGGGAATGCCCAAGTATTATATGATATAAAACATAACAGATGTGGAACTTGATCATTTATTCTTGTTTTTAGTTGAGAAAAGAGTTCTGGATATATTATGGGGGTCACCAGTTCCATGAATCACAAAGAGGGAAATTTTAGCTGCTTTCTCTAAAAAGGATGAAAATTTAATTGGTGATTTGAGTAAGGGTCTTAAGAATACAACAGATGTGGTTACGATGGTCAGAAACCCCTCTCTATTTAAAAAGTAAGAAGGTCATAAATAATTGATAAGGAAATAACAACAAACATGCAGGATTAGAAAATGTGCAGGACAACCATTAAAAACTGTATTTTTCTCTCAAAACTGCTAATCCTAATTACCATCAGAATTATCTTCAAGGACCCTCTGTATATCATCACAGGAACTTGGGAAGCCAATGGAAGCTTGCTTCAGGGATCAAGTCTTATATGAAAGGGTGCAGAGTGGGGAAGAAGGTTCTGAATAAATAAAAATAATATATATATTATTGTTAGACTTCACACTCACTGTTATATAAAGCCACAGGGGACATAGCAAAGAAATTAGCCCCCTATATTTAAATGTATATATGATTTTTAAATTCCTGCTTTCTGAGTCTCCCTGTTAAAGGTTCAGTGATTAGAGTTCTGGCTCAGTTATCTGAGCTTCTGAATTCAGAGCCAAGTTCATTACCTGAGTGACAGTAGATGGAGTCTGCATAAATAAGAGAGGAGTTATCATTGCAAAGAGTGTAATAGCTACTAGTTCCAGTCTTCACTTTTAAATTAAGTGTAATAGGCACTCTCCTCCAGAACCACCAAAACAGACTCAAAAATGCAACCTAAATGCATTTGTTAAAATATCTTTGATAACAGCTCATTATAAATCCAAATTCAGGAATCTAGACAATAAATACCACATTTTTTTCCATATGGGACCACTTCAGATAGTGTATGTTGTACCTAGGAGTATAGTTACCATAGCTGGTAGTGTGACACAAAGCACTTTGCCTATATTGAAGCTCCACTAAACCATATACAGTTAAAATTACAGTTTTATTACAACATACACAGTACTCATACACTATGCAAGACCTCTGCAAGGAGAATTTAAGCCCATTTATGACAGTATTACATTATAAAAACTGTTCTAATAGTGGAAGGCTTGATTCAGTTCTTCACTTTAAGCCCTAATGCACAACATTTGTAACTGTTCATATTTTTGGTGTATTCAATTACCAATTTTATTATATCAGTGCCCAGAAAACCCCAGTCATTACTTTGAATAAGCAGTCACATAACTGACTTTAGATGGGTCTAGATAAGAAATTAAAAATAATGATGACTGGATTTAAATAAGTAATATGTAGGCTGAACCTAATTCTGATTTCAATTTCATTGACTGTATACTAATTTAACTACATAGACTTAATGGAGGTATTATGATTTACACGACTGTCCATAGCCTATATTTCAAACACAGATCATAATTGCATGCTTCAGTGCTACCTATTCTGTGAGTGTGACAATGAAATTCAAATATCTATATAATTTCTAATGAAAAATACAGACAAAGATTTTTTCCTCCAGCTCTGGTATTATGTAGCCTATCTATAAAAACAGAATGATTAGGATTATAATTTACCTATCATATATAAACAGTAGAAAAAAATAAAGAGTAAATTTAGAAATAAATCAGGAGAAAAAGCCCTTTATGGTTATGCTTGAAATACGAGCAATTAAAACATAACCGCTTTAGAGACAGAATTAACACGTTTTGGCTAAATTCAATGAAAACTGACTTCCAACAGGAAAACTTTGACAAGTAAAATTTCAGCTACCTCTACTCTGAGGTCACTACTAAGAATGAAAGGGAAAAGATGAAGTGATCCCACCCTGGGGGGAAAAAAAAAAAAAAGTAAAGAAAAGAAAAAAAAATGTGCAGCTTACTTCTAAAGAATGAACAAATGAAAAATTTTAAATGAAATATTATTTAAATGAAATATTAAGTTTTATGTTTTTCATCACTTTTACCTGTATAAAATAATATACACCAAGATATGCTTTTCAGCATCATTTTTTTTTTGTCTAGTGAAAGTCCGCAACAGCATAAGCAAAGATATGGCTAAATAACATATCTTAATTTGTAATATTTACTACTGACCTAGCTATTTTAACTTCATAACCCAGGTTATCCACTTTTAATTTCTTTCACTGTAAAGTTCCTCAGACAGTGATAGGCATGTGTTGGCACAAACAGATGAATGGAAAAATGGGAACTCAGAACCCTGCTACAGTCAATGTAGCAGCTCAATCTCATTATATTAATCTTTGTGCAACATTTATAGTTGTCAGGAAGAGAGTTTTTTCCATTTGCTCCATCTGGCAAGCTATTTGTGAGTTTAATGGACATGCGTTCCAAATCTTCTTACGCCTGTGGCCATGTTTAAATTCATCTGCCTCAGTGGAATACCTAACAAAAGCAATTAAAAAAAAAAAAAAAAAAAAAAAAAACAGTTTAATGAACCATGAAGCCCAGTCTTTGGGGTTAATAGACTATTTACCTAATCAGAATGCTTAGAAAACATATATTTTTTTTCAGGTTTTCTATGGTTATTAGCTTTCTCTTTGGATTTTTTCCTCTATTATTTTTATATCAAGGATGACATTTATTTTTATGTAGTAATAGCTGGAGCATAGAGTGGTCTGGATCTGATTATTGTTCTCTCAAGATTTATAAATATATGTGGCCAAAGAACAGGAATGGCCCACACAGAGTTAGAGCAAAGGTACACCCCATGAAGTCAGTGGCATTGCCCTCCTTTTTGGAAACCTGCATCATCTCTAAACCCCAAAACTTTTTCAAAAATATAGCATAATATCCATATTACATTGTGTTCTTCTACATTTAGAAGCCTGAGGGGAGGAGGATTTTGCATCTTACCATCCCAAACAAGAAATTCGGCACTTGTTGCAATGAAAGCTATGTTAGAAGTGTACAGTGTGGCAAAATAAACATACTTCATAAATGTATATGCCTAATAATTTGGAGAGATCCCTAGATTATATAAGAAGAGTACACACAAAACTGTGGTCTAAGTATACGTTGATATAAAGGGGGAAAAAAAGTTTTTTTAAAGAGAGAAAAAAAAAGCAACAGAAAAAGAAAGTAAAAGTGCACTGTAATGACCTATTTTCATAAAGCATGCCATTTACAATAGCAGCAGTGATACTGAACAGTAATTATTTTTATAATTACTAAGCTTCAGTGGTAGGTAGCTGATCTATGCAACTGCAAATAAGACTGAATTCTTGAATCAAGAATGTTGTCTTGAATCAAGTTCCAACTACAAGTAAAACAGATATCTTTTAAACATTTAAGGTCCATAGTTTCGGTTTTACACATGTACATGCCCATTAACCAGTTTTAGCTTCAGTAAATCTCTTGCAAATGAATTTTAGGTTGAAAAATGGATCTTCCTGAAACAACTAATTGCAGTAATTGAAATTAGGTATTAATGTATTTCTATTGATCTTGTTCGTCACTGCTTTTGTTTTAGGAATTTTGTGTGCATTAGCATAATAAGATTAACACAATTAATATATTTGGAAAATTACAGTACCCCTGTAACTACCTCAGATACAAATTGCATACATTTCATCACCTTCATTAAGTCTGTAGCCATGTGTGTTTCAGAGAACTAGTAATTAGGCAGTTCATGGGTAGTTTACTGCAAAGTCTACCTTTGAATTGTTTTATGCCATCACTTCATATCTTCATGGAGTAGTTGTAGTCTTTGCATGCTGACATATCCCTTTCTCCTTGGCTGAAGGAATGAGCTGCATGAAATTTCAGAAACAAAACCCATAGTCTTAGAAATCACTACTGAATCACACAGAAATTAGATTACTTCATTTAAAAGCTTTCTTTCTAATTAAATGTTGCTGTATGTAGCAATGAAAACTGTGAACATCTGTGAAAACTGTGAAATCACTATGTGGCTATCAACAATTAATGAAGTAAGAGAACATTTTTATTTTCTGTAATATTAACATAAAAGTATTTGTGCATTAAATAAATAGACTCAGTAAGCCATTGAGTATATGAGTAGTTGCGAGAAAGGGATGTCACATATTTGCAGGAAGCCAGAAATAGGCAAGAGAGGAAACTGTAAATTCCACTTGTACTCTTCCCTCAGACCAGGGAGCCATAATCTGCCTAGCCTTTTGCTTTCCATCACTCGGTGCTGTGTAGATGCTAGTTATGCAAGATGGCCAATGCTACAAAATATGGCAGCAATGTCCCTGCTTCTTTTGCCTCAGAAAAGTGACAGCAGCTCCATGGAGGCTTTCTGTCATTATTTAACAGCACCATCTCTCTCGCTGTGGTCTGCAGTGTCATTTACAGAGCCAGTAATGAGGGATATTTTATACTTTTACTATCCTAAGCAGGGAAAACTAACTTTCTTGGCACTGGAATGCAACTTCAAAAACTGTATCTCAATCCTGTTTCAAATTTGCTTATAAGCCATTCAAGCCTTTTAGGAGGAACATACTAAAATTCATTATCGCTCTAGTAAATCATATCGCATAATGAGATTCAGATAGATGGCAGGTTTCTACTTCACACACTGATGATCAAATCCAGGTTTTTCCTACTATTTCAAAGCTTCTTTTAAAGACAATTAAAATTAGTATTTATTGAGAAGTGCAAAGAAGGCAAAAATCTCTCCAAAGCACATAAGAAAGTTATTGGTTTATGGGAAATCTACCCATACATTCAGCACCTTGAATGTGTTCTTGCCCATCAAAGAAAACACAAAATGCAGCACTTTCAAACAAAGAAAGACCATGTCAGAACAACGTATTAATAGTATTTACTGTGTACTAAACTGCAAAGTAAAGCAAAGCTTGGAGGTTTTAAAGTCTCTCCTTATATTTAAATGAAGTATCTTATATATATATATCTAAAAATCCATACATAACAGTTACTGTAAATGGCTTTAAAAAGTCCGTTAGCTATGTTAGATTATCCACACAAACAACTTTAATCTAGTATACAAGGAACATGGCAGTCATTTAGAATAGATAGCCTGTTAAAATACTGAAACATTCACTTTTCTCAGACTGAGTTTCAGTTTGCTGCTTTCAGCCATTCAGAGGGTCTACTCTTTAAATACGATGCCAATGAACTCTTGAACCAAGAAACTACCTGCTACAGAACTGAATGCTGATAAAGTTAGAAGAAGCCCTTTACTTCTTAAAAGCATTAGACTTAAAAGCAGTAGGCTGAACCCAGGCCAAACCTGAAGCAATCAACAGCTACCAGAACACAATGGCTATTCTGCAGTCACCTCAGTCCCTTGAACACATCCTAGTCTAGCCATCAAAATAAAGATACCTACAGGAAAAAGCCAGCACCAATAAAACATATTGCTGTCTTAAGCTGCATCCCCAGCAAATATGATATGCATTGACTGACCTTGTCCATCCTCGAGGTTATCCTACTAGCCTGAAACCAAAGGACATGAAGCAATGCTAAAAGAATGTCCTTTTTGTCTGGGCTGGATCTGTACAACTAAACGCAGGGGACTGGGTCAGACAGGCCTTCAGGCTCTTGCTCCACTGCTTTCAGGTGTGTGTGTGACAGAACAGGAGAATGGGGCAGGAAGCAGGCAAACATTTTTACTCACAAGCAATTATTAGATATCCTACCTCATCAGGTACCTTCTCTCTACATCTCCTCTGGGAATAATTAGTTTCATAACACATTCCAAGTGATTGCAAATAACCTGCGCAGTCATATTCTTTTGATCTCTGCTTAGCTATCAGTTAGGCGTGCTGCTCTGCTTACAGTGCTGAGAGATAACTGAAAAATGTAAAGAGCCAAGCTTTTTGAAGGGTGTAAGGTTTGGAATTTGTCTTGGCAGTTGGGACCCAAAGCAGCTAAAGCCACTAGAGCTTTAGAAATTCATCAAATGCAAATTGTCAGCTCTGGTACACAGAAGGTTAATACTGTATTTCTTAGCCCTGGAGTGATGTATGAAAATTTACAATCAGTGACTTCAGGAAACCCATCTAAGCCCTGCATGTACATTTTTCACTTCACCAGCTACTCTGGTGGTAGCCAGTAGATCTAATTTCAGCAAGTTTGTGTTCCTGACAGCAGTCACATCAAATTACAGAATCTTCCAGACTTAGCTGGCACCTTCATCTCAGCCCTTCAATCAAATAATATGCCTGTTGCCTTCATCATGCAATCCTTAATTATCTGAAAATCAGTCGACTACTGCTTGTGCCAGCAAAGGAAATGAGGAAAGAATAGTGTTCTTTCCAATGCACATGGCTGGATACCCTTCAGAGACATCTGATTTGATTGCTAGTAACAATATTCCATTGATGTTCTTTTTCATTTCTATGGCTTAAGGCCCTTTTCCTAAAGAATTGTTTTATGCATGCACATATTAAAACCTGCATGATTTTTTTTTTCTTAGTGACAGAGATGTTGTGAATTTTAGTTCTGATATTCCAACAGCTGATGTTTGCTGGATAAGTATGATGTGTCCCTAGGACCAAGTGCATTGTGTTGAAAAAAAAAGATTAGAAGGATGGGTGAAGATTGTTTACCAAAAAAGAATTCCATGCATAAATCTCATGGGAGACTCACTAAATATCTTATCCTAGTGCCAGACAAAGGTGCTCTAATTTCCTGGAATCAGATACAGACTCCGAAGGGGATCAAGGTCAACAAAGCAAACTAGGCAATCCATCAACAACCTAATTACATTCTATTGACCCAGAAGGAATTCCAGAAGCAATGCAGATACCTCTAGATGCTGGAACAGTATCTATCAATTCCTGGCCTCTGGGTCTTGTCATTACCTGACATCTCCACTGCTAAAACTACTCCTTAGGAATCTTCTCATTTCTATAATCTGGTTATTTAGACTGAATGCCAGTACCTAACATAAACTGCTCTGGGCTAAATTCTAGCAGGCTGCATCATAAAAAGGAGTTTGTTCCTTGTAATATCCTGCCTCTTATTAACAATGTAAAATATATATTATAATAGGCCTTCTTTGGAAATCACACTGATAGTTACCTACGCATTTGCAAGCATTTTGGGAAAACTAAGCCAAAAGGAAAAATGGAGGATTTGTCTGCTTAGTTATAACAGAACCAAACCTCACCAGCTGAACAAATAAGGAAGGATAAAATAAAAAATCAAATGATAAAAAATAACTGTGCATAGACAAACTGACAAGTCTCAGATATCAGATATATAACAGATCTCTCTCTCTCTCTCTTTTTTTTTTTAATTTTTTATTTTTTTGACTGTTATATTAACACTCTAGGTTCTCTTTTGGACAGGAGTCTGATCTGTGTGCTGGCCATAGCATACAGGCCATAAACAACTACCCCACTTGTGCACGGTATCAATTACCAAAAAAAAGTAATGAAACTCATGCATGAGGAGTATGCTTTACAAACTATTCTTCCTGGTGGCTCTGTAGAACTGCTCTTTTCAAGGATGTCCACTTGTACATTACGGACAGATGAAAAAAAAAAAAAGAAACAAGAAAACTGCATTGGAAATATAAAAAGAAATGAAGTATAAGAACTGTCTTTCTCACAGTCTAATGACTTTTCAGGGTGAGGGAAGTAGAAAGTGCTATTGGCAAGAAATGAATATTAAAATATAAAACAAAAGGTATGGTAGGTCAAGTCCCAGATCTGTGAAGCACTGGGAGCATGAACTTTAAAAAGCACTCAATTGTTACAACTGTATTGAACTGTATACTGTGCATTTCTTTTTGTTTACTGCCTCATGCCACGAATATTCCCTAATTCCAAATCTCAGCCACATGCAGGAAAATATATTTGTGCTGCAATCTAAATGGACTAATAAAAACAACATTCAACCATTTGGAACTGAAATATTCATGAGATACTCAGGGAACAATGAAACTCAATTGCTTCAGCTATCCTAAAGGAACAAGAGTCAAGAAAACACAGGAGTAACTAGAAACTGTTCCACTGTGCCTTCAAACTTTGTTCTTTATTTTTATTTTGCTCCTCTTACTTCAAATCAAGAAGCTTCATTCCCATTTAGTAGATATTACACCTGGCTACCCAGCTGGCTCACATCCATTTATTTAAATTTCGGCCTGTGCAGTTAAATTACTGTGAAAGCAAAATAGGAAAATACTCTGCCTAGCTGAGTGAACTTCCTTTGCCTCAGTATAGTCATAGCACCAGATGACGAATTTGTGTGTGTGTATCTGCACAGGAGTCCAAAAGATGTTGAAATTAATTTTTAAAGTTTCCTACAATCCAATGCTTAGGGTTAACCTCAGGGAAAACAGACTATCCCTTGCCTTTTATAAGTAAATTATATTACTGTGTTGATAAACAGCTCTAGGCTCAAGTTACTTGGGACACTTGCACTGGCCAATTCCTACTTTATGGAAACACACAATCCAAATAAGAAGAACAGTTCCCTCCTTAAAATCACAAAGAGTATAACTAAAGTATCTGACATTACTACTCAGAAATCTGAGCCAGTGCTATTCTTGCCAGGAATTGAATGATTCTAGGAATGCTGCACGCTGTGGGCAGTTATCTTAAACTACTGCAGCTCTGTTCCTCAGACCCATATGACTCCTGCAGCTGAAGAGGACGTTATCTGTGCCTCTTCAGAATCTGTCAGCCTGGCTGAGCACGAAGTAATTTCACACAATGCTGCAACTATTTATCATCCTTTGTTCTTTGCATCTAGCTAGCTATCTGTAATGGCAAATATAAGTGTCACCTATACTTCTTAATGGATGTCCTTTTTC